GAAGCAGCTACATCCACAAATTCCCCTTTAGCCCTCAGGCAGTCAGTTACAGAGTATTGCCAGCATACATCTTGGGTGATAATTCACCAGCAAGGATTCCCTTACCGCGGGCCTTAACTTATCCCCTAATCAGGGCAGCTAAATAGGTCATATGTTGGGAGGAATATATACCCATTCCAGACGCGGTTTGTTACTCTAACTTATCCTTATGATCGATGCGACAATCATCTGACTGGTTAGACATAAGGACACCTTACGTGAGTAAATTAAGTTTTTATATCTTTTTTTGGAGCACCCATAGGCCAGTTATTCAGTAATAGTTGCTCTTATTTGCCAAGGCAATCCACATTTGGCCAAAGAACACAAAAGCAGGCCCTATGGCTGGCAATAAGGCCTCAGAGACATGGTAGTTTCTGAATGAAATGATATCAGCAAGTGAATTATAGTAAGGCTGCTATGGATATGCTGCTTTTGCTCATCCGTGACAGCAGTTACCTTTTTGTTGGTACAGATCTCACCACACACAACAATATCTAAGGTCACAGGGGACGGAAGAATTCACAATCATCCTTTTTTTTTATTTGAACAAACCATTATTTCTCCCTTCCAGGAAGTCCTTTTGAGAGTTCCTCTTGTTGGTTATGTGTTCAGATGAAGCACTGAGATCTTGAGGAATGCTGAATTAAGTTTTACTTGAAGAAAACAGAAAGAAAAATAATTTCCTGTGTATCATAGATAAGCATGCACACAGAGACTAGCCTTCCACTACAGCACCATCTACAGCTGAAAAGACATATCAGTATATTTGTATATATGCTGTTACATTTCCAATACCTCTGACCAAACTTGCCCAGTTGGTCTGAGGTTGTGCCGCTCACGAAAGTTTGAACAAAAATTTTTTCAAGATTCAGGGTCCTGTTGAGTTCAAGACTGACATTATAAGGTTTTTCTTCTTATCTTCCAGTCCATTCATTACAATCAAGGTTCCTAGGTGTAAGCAAAGCTCTCGGTTATATGTATATACACTGTGTGCACAATCCACAGACAAGTAAGTATTTTGACCAAATCACCATTTTTATGCATATTGTCCTTCTCCAAGCTATATGAACCTGAATGCTTATTGGATTTAAGCATATCAGGTGATGTGTAATGGGGGAGGGAGTGACCTTAGGAGATCAACACCCTATATTAGGGTGTGCATAATGATTAGTCCATTTCTTTTCCTCAGGCAAAATGTGCCAAAAAAGAGATTTAACTGACTCTGAAAAGTTAAAAATTGTAAAAAGTCTTTCAGAGGGATGCAGCACTCTGGAAATTGCTAAGATATTGGGGTGTTATCACAGAACCATCAAATGTTTTGTTGCAAATAGTCAACAGGGTCACAAGAAACATGTTGAGAAAGAAAGATGTAAATTAACTGCCAAAGATTTTAATAGAACCAAAGGTGAATCTACCAGGAACTCATTATCCACCAGTGCTGTCATATTTCAGAACCACAACCTACCTGGAGTGCCCAGAAGTACAAGGTGTTCAGTGCTCAGAGATATGGCCAAGGTAAGGTAGGCTGAAACCCGACCACCACTAAACAAGACACAAGTTTAAATGTCCAGACTGGGCCAAGAAATATCTGAAGACAGATTTTCCAAAGGTTTTATGGACGGATTAGATGAGAAGAGTGACTCTTGGAGGAACAGATGGATGGGCCCGTAACTGGATCAGTAACGGGCACAGAGCTCCACTCGGATGCCAGAAAGATAGAGGTGAGGCACTGGTGGGCTGGTATTAATAAAGATGAGCTAGTTGGACTTTTTCGGGTTGAAGATGGACCCAAAATCAACTCCCAAACTTACTGCCAGTTTTTAGAAGACACTTGCTTCAAGCAGTGGTACAGGAAAAAGTCTGCATCTTTCAAGAAGACCATGATATTTATGCAGGACAATGCTCCATCACATGCATCGAAGTACTCCACTGCATGGCTAGCCAGTAAGGGCCTTAAAGATGAAAGAATAATGACATTGGCCCCCTTCCTTATCCGACCTAAACCCTATTGAGAACTTGTGGGCCCTTCCTAAATGGGAGATTTACGGTGAAGGAAAACAGTAGGCCTCTCTGAACAGTGTCTGGGCGGCTGTGTTTACTGCACTAAAGGTGATCAACAGATCAAGAAACTGACAGACTCCATGGATGGAAGGCTTATGAATGTTATTGAAAAGAAGAGGGGCTATATTGGTCACTGATTTTGTTTTTGAAAATGTCAGGAATCTTTATTTGTAAATTTTGAGTTGTTTTTTATTCTCGCTTTACCAGATGAAAATAAGCAAGTGAGATGGGAAAATGTTTGTTTTCTATTTAGTTGCATAATAATCCTGCACACTAATAGTTGCCCAATAATTGTACACACGTCGATATTCTCATAAGAAAGCCAAAACCTCACTTTTACTTTCCTAAAAATTCAGGTTTGAGGTTTATTAACATTTTGGATTGACCGAGAGCACTGTAGTTGTTCAATAATTAAATGAATTCTCAGAAATACAACTTGCCTAATTGTGCACACAGTGTATATCCAAATGGTGTCTCGTAATATTTCCAGTCCAAAAATCTGCCCTTTGGCCTCGCCACAATTCTAGGTCATTTTCCAAATTTTACATCCAGTCACTGCCTTCTTGAGTGAACAAGGCTTCAAGTATTCCAACTATTTGCAGCGACATCCTGCTGATAGTTCAGCATGCTCATACTCTGGCAGTCAACGGGAACATCATAAATTCAGCTCTGATTAAGTTAAAAGGAATCGCCAACGGGAAAGCCAAGTGGTCTTAGTGTTTTGTTTGAGGCAGGTCAAGCCTCTATCCTACTCATTGGCATCCCATTGTCTCAGGTTGACAGGATCAATTCAAATGGTGAAATTAGACTTATCGAAGGCTAAGAGTCTTCCAACAGGGTTCTTCAGACAACAGATTACATTCCCTGTGCCAGAGGTTCAAGATGATTCCAAATATGAGATTCTTTGGTTGTGGCTGAGGCCGGTGAACCTGTTTCAACTGTCATCATCTATGTCCCTATCCAGTGATAGTGTTAATAATGGATTCTTATGTGCGAATCACTTCCAACAACCTTTTAGTCAAACGGGAGTGACAGTCCACTGGGGGGAAAATGTCTCCAGCATCTTGGAGTTCAGAGATCCTTTCAGATCCAAGGAGCCTCCGTATTCAATGTGGAGGTATCAGAAAGGGGCTCTCTGCGTGCACTAGGTCACATGCATTGTGGCTGGTCAAGCAGATGGAGCCACATATTAATCTCTGGTTTCGCTCTTCCGAAGGATGTCATCTTTATGGATAGAATTCAGTGGTGTACCTCTAAAGTTATTCTGGAAGGCAGTAACCTGTTCCATGTTCCTGTCCCATTACAGGGTCTATCCAGGAGTTTTGACCACGGTGAAGTTTGGTTCTGAATGTGTTTAACAGTGGTACATATAAATCAATATCCAAGCATTACCCTCCCTGGTTTTGATCGATATGTCCCATTCGTATGCTGCCATGTTGGAGTCTGACGCCAATACATGGCAGCATATGGGACCTGGCTTTTGCAGTACTTGTTACGAGAATGGCTGCCTTTGGAGAGAGAGAGAGAGATCACAAAAGACAGGATTAAAAAAAAAAAATGTACAAAGGTTTTCTGCTACAAGTACAGTCACGGTAATCTACACTGATAAAGTATAAATACGCACATCAGCGACCGGAAAAAGGGAGCATGCACAGATCAATTTCTCAAGAGGATCCAAGCCCAACTCACAGATCAAGAGCACATTAGGGCAGGCCAAAAGTACTATTCCGCCAGATCCAGCAAACTTTTCAGCAAAATAGCAACTCTCAAACCCTCAGAAGGCACAGCAGGAGGGGACAGAACAGCACTCAGGCCCTCCAATGTGAGTCCCCTAGCCTCCACACAGTCCATCCAGATACGATCAAATGTCCGTGGGTGATTCCGACTCATTTATGTCAGTTTATAGAGAGGTAGCATCCTATCAACTGTATGTAGCCACTGATCTACCGTGGGCGGGGTATCCAGTTTCTATCAACAATCTCACGCTTAGCATAGAAGGTCACATAAAAAATAAGATGCCTAAGCATCTTATTAAATGAGTATATGGTCCACAAGATCCAATAACAATATCATGGGGTCAGCTTCAATTTGCTGAAGAAGAAAATAATGTCGCCAGCACACCGTAGTAATAAATCAATAATCCATTTAATGGCAATGTGCCATTAAATGGATTATTGATTTATTACTATGGTGTGCTGGTGACATTATTTTCTTCTTCTGTGGTACACACGGTGCCGTCCGTGGTCACTACAAGCACCTACCCACACAGGTTCTCTCCGGTAAGGAGTGCAGCAAGACCTCTGGTCCTTAAAGCTTCAAGTTGCAGACCAGTGACGCTATTCGAGAGCACAGAATGCCAATACGGCCACAGCAACTGTCCGGACCACACCACATGCAGAAAAGTGCCAACTTCTACCTTGCATCTATGGCAATGAGCATCCATGGAATGATAGATTGCTGCTAGCCGAGAGTGTAATACGCCCTATGTAAGAATTTCAACTGAATAAATCTACCTATAGGGGAGACAGCGTTCGTTAAATAGTTCTGTACACAGTTCTCCCAGTTGTCTTCCATCAGCAAGGGAATATCAACTTTCCATTTCCCATACAAGTGAGGTAATGTGGGGCTGTCAGTAGAGGTCAGTCGAAAATAGAGGGAGGAGAGTGGTTTGTGAAACCTATCTTCCAGCTGATCGAAGGAACTGGTCAGAGAATTTTCGTATGACCAGAGACGGCAGCCAGTGAGCTGCTCTATTTCTATCGTTCAGCCCGCAGGTTAAATGAAAGATAGAGCAGTGTATGGCCAGCGTAAAAGGTCTGTCTTTGTATGGCAATAGCCTGTGTGGTATATGCTTCTCCTTTTATTAGCTTATGTTGAAATGATCTCTGCTTAATTTTCAGATGAGGCAAGCAGACGTCAATGTAGTCACTGCTTTAACCCATAGACCATGGAGTCTCAGCCATTTAGGGGATGGGAAACCTCGTTTTGACTCCATGTGGAAACATTATTTCTATGTATCAATGGATATTTTGCTGGACTGGGCATTGCACCACATTCTGTGGAACTTTTGTGGCATATCTGCTTTCCTGATGCAGAAGAATTACATCTCAAAGTAAGTTTATTTTACTTGTGGTATAGGCCTATCTTGCTGCCATCTAAACCTACTCCCTGATTATACCCACAGGATGCTTTACAAAATGGAAGAAAAGTGCTTGTGCCATGCATAACATTTAATCAGATCCTTTCTGTCATTTTGTTTATTAAATCTATATTCTCAGTAAAAAAAATGACACTCAAGTTAAGCGTGCACACAAACATAATATAATACCCAATTATAATACAATGGCAAAATATAAAAGATGAGGTTGTGTCCAGTAATTGGGTACCAAAACGTCCCTTGTCCATAGGTGATGCTTTAAAATCCTTTCCAGACCATCAGTTTAGTGTTAAATGGTAACCCCTCTTGAAAAAAAAAAAATAATAATAAAAAAAGAATTTAGAATAAATATTTTCTACACAAGCCATGTTCTAATTTTATGTTGTTAAAAATTGTCTTGTAATTTGTCAAAAAATTCAATGCACTATTGCAACCTGAAGGCATTCTGTACACAGTGAATGATGGCCCTAGAATTACTGCTCTCATAATGACGTGTGCAGCAATACCCAATATGTGTAGAACAATCATGGTTTTCGTATGCATCTTCCCTGGCCACAGCAGTCAGAGATTGACAACTCTGTACTCCGAAGTGCTCCACTCTGAGCTTTTTTTAAGGTAGCTTTAGAAGCAACACATGCTTTTTACTCAAACAAGAAGGAAAGAGCTTTTGTGTTTTTAAAATTAGAGGTACCCAACCCATTTTTAAACAATTTAGTGTACTTTCTAGAATCAGATCCTTAGGAAGACTATGCCATATTTCCAATAAACTGCTTAACAGCGAAGGTTGAATCTGCCTGGGTTCAATTCACCAAGGATTTGTTAAATTTTTGTTCTGAGAACCTGAATTTTGAGGCAAATCATATTGTAGTCTGCAGTGGGATGAACCTTGCTCAATTCTGGCCATTTTTAAGGCTAATAGGCAAACTACTGTAAAATGAGGCATGGGAAGTGAGGCCCCACAATGGGGCACATGTACGCAACTCTGACTTTTTTTTTCAGATGGCTTTAGAAGCAACACATGTTTTGTTTCTCAAACGGTAATAGGCCCACTTTTAATGGTAAATAGAATTGGACCTGTAGTTTTCTGTGGTTGTTCTCGCTGATGCAAAACTGTTCTGCCGCTGGACATATTCCGTCAAGCTCTCATTAAGAATTAGGAGGCAACAGAAGATCCAACAGTGTAAAATTGCAACGGCAGCAGGACATTTTGACCAAAATGTACTAGAAAAAAAGAGTACAAGCAGGTGTTTTGCTGCAACAATTTAAGATCCTGCATAGGGTACAGTAGTGTAAAATAGGCCAGAAGCGGGACAGTTTTATTAGGGAATGTAGTCATAACTATGAGTATGCCTAGCTTTAATTTTATTGCTCAGTGGGTATAGGGAGGTGCGGTGAATGTGAGTGATAAAATGTGAGGTAGTTTAGGAGGTGAAGGGAATGGGAAATGCAACAAATAGTGCAATTACAGTAACAATTAAAGAGCAAAAATGATGTTGGAAGCACGAGGACAACCAATATTTCCACTATGTTACAATTGCCACAGGCGTCTAGTATCCATTATTTCTGTGTATGTGAAGTAAGTATGTTGATCAGTGGCTGATTTCTCAAGGGCATAGGCCCTATTGTGCCTATTACATAGTTGGTTAAGGGGGTTTGGGGGAAAGTGTGCCATCCAGTATGTTTTAAACACAAAACTGAAGTTTGACTTTTTCCCCTGCAGAGACTATGTGGAGAAGTGGAATAATAGAGGCATTGAGGTTGTGGCTTGGACAGTTAACAACGCCTCTGAGAAGTTATATTGTGAACACTTCCTGAACTGTAATTACATCACCGACAGCATGGTAGAAGACTGTGAGCCTCACTATTGACCTGACCACTTAGTTTCTAAGCTTGTTTTCTAGGGTGCTAATAAAGGGAAGAATCTCTATCACTTAATTAATTTTGTGCACATGCCCGTATTAAAGTGAAGCTTCTGTGTCTTCCAAGTGTATGAACAAGCATAACTGGTAAGGTGCAGTAATCTGTGGTGCCTGTAAGCACCTGTAAAGGAGCTTTGTGCTTGGGGAGGACCCCCTTTCTAGTGATATGCTTACCTCATTCATCAAGTTGTCAAATGCTAGAGCCTCTAGTGGCACTGCAATTTACCTGCACTTTACCAATGATGTTGGTATGTACGTCTTCCTTGATATAATATCTTCAATTAAATTATAAAGTATACTGTATGTAAAGATTTTAGCTAATAAAAAATCTCACCCTAGCGTCAGCTGTTAAACCACCCAGGGGTGCATTGAGTAAAATCTTTGATTCATGTGTGTAGAAGTATATTGGCTATGAATGTATGGTTATGTTTATTTTTATTTGAAATTATTGATGATCAAAGAAAATGTGGTTGCTTTGCTATAATGAAGTTAGAGACATTAAGTGGGAAAACAATGATTTGGCTCATTTTATATTTTTAAAATAAAAGTATCATAAGTGTACATTAGTACTAATATTCTGAAGATTATCCTCCCCTTTCCCAGACAACCTCATCAAATAACTTAGCATCTAAAAGACAAAAAAGGTTAGGAAAGGAAAGTGGGGCGTTAATGGCACCAGTCGACAAGTCCAATAAATCACGCAATTTAATTTAGATAAAAATATTGTTTTAATTAGATACAAAATATAAAAACAGCCATGGTTAAGATCTATAGGGACATCATAATTGAAAAAACCTCCAGCAACTACTCAGTTCCATGATTAGGACATATAAAACATTTTTGGATTCTTAAATAACAAGTGAAAAAATGATTTGTGATAGTAATTGATATAGAAATCATCAAAACATAAGTTGTGATAAGAATCGATCCAAATTCCATGTAAAAGGCCTTATCTGGAGCCAATGGAGTAGATGAGTTGCAATTTTCTACGAGAGAACCCGACTCTTGCCAACGCAGTCTTCTGTATTTACAAGCTTGCCGGGAGCAGAGTCCTTAAACTCCAGTGTGCAGACAGCCCAAGCACGTGTTCCCCATTTTTCTGTATGGCTTGGTGCTGGAGTATCTGTTTCCCTGCTGAGACATCTCACTCCTGGGAGTTTTATAAAAAATAGTAGCATTTGAGGTCTGTAATATATATGAATTTAGCCTTTCATTTCGAGTCCTCATTTTGCTAATTAAAAAAATGATTCCTTATTGTTTACCTTTTCAGAAATGTTATAGAAATGCAAATAAAACCCGTTTTTTGGTTTTAAGGTAGGCTCCTAAAGCACCCTGTATGTGAGCTTAAGTTTACCTCTGAAGCCAAGAAGACTGGTTTTTGCTCCTGTGACAAAAGCTACCATCTCTTAACAGGCAATTGGCAATGAGGGGAAGAGACTGCCATCATGGTAGTGTTCCGGTGGCCATATCCCTCATCTACATAAAATTACATTATTTGTTTTTGATGGGATTCATTAGTACGGCCCTGAGACATCCCTATTTCTTTGCGTCTCATAAGCAGACTTTTTAGTTGTGTCTAGTATTTTTCAGACCCAGAAGTTTGGTTTGAGGACAAACTGGTCACTCATGAATAGTTTGCCAAGAAGGGTCTCTGGGATTTCTTCCCCTGCACACTTTTTTGGCAGTCTGGGATTGTTTAGTGACTAGTTTAGAAGCTCCCAAGTTTGTAAGGAAAAAGGGAGGAGTGTGTATTTTCTCTGAATCATTCAGTAGTGTTTGTAATCCGCTCTTTTGTGCTACTTCTATTCCCAGTCTATTCTTAGGCTGTTCACAACATTGTTTTAAATTGGTCTCTAGAAAGCTGGTACTTTTGCCTTTAGTTTACTACCCACTGGTTGCTGCTCCAGGCCGATTTTGAAAGTACATGCATTCCAAAAATGGTGCTCGCCATCTTTTATCATTATGCAATTATTATCATTACTTTGAAAGCTAATTGGATGTTGAATTTTTGTTGTTTTGTTTGTGGAAGCAGACTGCCAGCTTTTGTTTACAATCGTGGATCCATTTGTTTTCCTGTTTTTTTTTCTTCAAATACTTGCAACCATTCTTTCAGCAGCAAGAGAGTAAGTCCTTTGGTGCAGTCTGCTATGAAACAAAAGACAATCCTCACACTGATTATTACCCTATGATTAGATCTATAATTTACATAAAATATTTCTATTTCTCACTTTTTATTAAAAAGCAGAGCCTACTGTGAGTTGTTGTTTTTATTGCTAAGATAATGGCAGTGAATGTTTCAGAATTTTGGATACAGCATTTATGTGTCATAAAGTTTATATTTGTTGGTGCTTATTATGGAGAGCATGGAAGACATTATCCAGCCTTAAATAGAATGAACCTTTTAGCCTTCTACAAAGTGTTTTGGGTTCGTGTATGTCCTAATATTGTCCTAATATTGTCCTAATATTTAAATAAATTGCTCATAGAGTCTTAGACCTGTTGTTGCTAAACTATAAAAAATGTAAAGCTATCATAGACATCGGACTATGCTGGCCAGACTTGAAAAAGATCTTAAAGTGGACCTGAACTATTTGCTATCTGATGGGGAACATCAAGAAGTGTTTTGTGCCTAAGCAGTACCTGAAATATTTACCTTTTTGCCTAGAATACCTCCTGACAAACATCAGTCCACTTCCATTCATTCATGTGCTATGTGCCCCATATGTATAATCTGTTTATCTACAGCAGGGGTGCCCACAATGTTTGTGTTAAGATCTACTTTTCAAATGACGAGCTACATGAGAGCTACCAATGAAGAAAACAAAACCTCTCTGGCTGTCTCTCCTTGCTCATCCTCCTAGCTGTCTCTCCTCTCTCTCCTAGCTGTCTTTCCTCGCTCGCTCTCTCTCCTGGCTGTCATTCCTCGTTTTTTCTCTTGGCTGTCTCTCCCTGCTCTCTCTCCCCTGGCTGTCTCCTTGCTCTCTCTCCCCTGGCTGTCTCTCCTCGCTCTGTCTCTCCCCGCTCTCTCTCCTGGCTCACCTTGCTGTATTTTGCAACAGGCTGTGTAAACTAATATTGTTTGATGTAATACATAGCACTTCAACCACCAGTATTCACCAGAAAGGTGTCAGGGAGCTTGGCTCAGCAGACTCAGGCTAATAGGTAATCATGTGTGCACAGCTAAATAAATAAACCAAAATGGAATATAGGGGCCACCATTCACACCCTTCCTGATCTACCAGCATCAGCTTTGAGAGCTACTGGTAGATAACGATCTACCCAATGGCCACCCCTGATCTACAGTGTGAGATCATCTAAGAGCTTCCTCTGACCGCTAGTCTTGTGAGATCTGACACTACTTTGCTGCTTAATGTTCTCCTTGCTAAAAAGGAAGCTGTACACAAGGACCTGCAATGCAAAAATGTCTCTGCTTCTGCTTTATTGATTCTGTGGATCTGTGCTTCATGAACCTCTGTAGCTGCTTATTTGTTCCTCCGCCATTTATTATTTCACCGGTCATCGGGTATCAGCAAAGCCCTGCTCCTCTAACATGGCTGCCTCTGGATTCTGAGAGGACACTTCAGTGGCCAGCCAGTGGGAATTGTCCATGTTACACAGGCAGTGATGTGAACACTTGGAGAAAGGACCCCTGCAGGAAGTAAACAGAGAATAGAAGGACCCAGCATTGGATAATCACATAATCGTGAGTTAAAGCAAGTTTAAAAAATGTTTTTTTTTTTTTAAACAGCCTAGCAATTAGTGAGGGGGAGGGATGGGAGGTCTCTTATTTTTATCCTAGTGTCGGGCTGTAAATGGTTGTACCATTACATGGTTGTAGTACACCTAAAGGTACAGACCAAAGTAATTCTGGAATAGAGCCAGAACATACCTAGAAAATTCTGAAGGCATGGGTGGCAGCAGCCACCAACAGTTCAGGAGATGTCTTACCAGAGGCCGTGCGATTTACTAGCACATCATCAGTTCCTTTTAGGCAATTTATTCGTCACAAAACATACTGTATATGCAATGTTTTAGAGCCTTAACATGCTTCTTCCACAGGCAAGCAGTTACTTCTCGCTGTTTACCTTAACACTTATTCTAACGTGGCCTCAGAGACTCTCTTCCTATCCCTCTTGCCCATTTTGGTAGGCGTGTCTTAATTATGAGTGTGCAGGCAGCTAAATGATGCTACACACATGATCACACACTATCTGTTTTCTACAACTCCTTTGCTCTTTTATGGAAAATTGTTTATCAAATACCATAATTTTCCTTTCCTGGCTACTCCTCGGGGCAGCAAACCACGGGGGGTCATCTCCACCCCTGGGGCCCTTTGAGTAGACGAAGAGATTAGTCTCTGTACTGAAGTCCCTCATTCTATCCAGGCAAGTAGATATTAGACGGAACATACCCAACCTGCTAAAATCTTCTGAATGCTGAGAAGCTGCTGACATAGGCTGTTCCAGCGCTGGTAAAATCAATTCCCAGTTTAGGTGGTACACGGTCTATACTTTTGGCATAAACTCGAGCCGAGGGCGCAGCAGTACTTTGTCTGGAAGAATAATGCAAGAGGATTCTTCAGATGGCAAAACTTTTTCAAGTAAGTAGCTCTATAGAGCAGGATTCAGAAGGCAAAAAAAGGTGAAGTTATCAGAACATTTAGAACTAAGGGCAAATCTCAGGAGGGAGACGGGTCTCAATGGCAGCTTCAGCTCGATGATGGCTCGAAGAAACTGCTGAACTAGAGTGTCAGACCATTTTACTTTTGTAAGTGCCCCTAAGGATGAAGCCTGTACTTTTATAGTATTGTAGCTCTTGTCTAGGGCAAAATTAAAAAAAAAATTGAGGATGTTGGCTTGATTTGAGGATGTTGGCTTGGACTGATTGCTCAGTCCAGCTTGATTTGCTTGATCAACACTCTTTTGTCCCTGAGCTCCCATTTGTGCCTTTTATTTCTGACCTGATTTTCCGTGGGCTGATATTTTGTTCACAGACATATTCCCCCGATTATGCCTGTCTGCTGCCAGCCCTGACCTTTTGGCTTGATTTTCGGATTTCCGTTTTCTCTGCTACCATATCACCT